GCCTCTGGGTGGCTACTTAGACATTTTCCGCCACTCAGTGACCGTATGAACCGGAAATCTGCTCCAGAGCCGAAGCTACTGGGCATCTAGCTCCTCGGGACTGGGGGCAAAAGATCCAGACTCCCTGGGCTTCACTGGGGACATGCAAAGTTATCTCTGATTCACCAAATCAAAAAAACTGAGCTGGCTGCCAGGATGTTTTGGTATTTTTAGAGATGAGAGGTGAATCACAATTGAGTTTTCCAACTCATTCTGTCTGCTTTTTCTTGGTAATCACTTATCATAAAACCCGAAGCTCTTGGCAGATAGGCAATTTAGTAATCCAAGGCAGGTGGGGGCAGGGGGCGCGGCGGGAGGGTCGTGCTCCTCAGAACCTCACTCCCGTGTCCGGGCTGGAAGGACTGTAAACTGCCAGCGAGGAGAACGAGCTGGGGCGTCAGCACCAGAACACAAGGGCGAGGGGTTCGGGCGACCTCCCCGCACGGTCGGTAAGGTGTGTGCCACAGATGGGATCTTGGAGCCGCCAGTCCTGGCTTCCAGGTGTGTGGGCCTGTGGGCAAAGGTCAGCAGCCACGGTGCTCACGACTTGCCTGATGGGACGGCCTCTCCATGCGCTGACTCAAAACCTGCATTTCCTAACTCCTGAAAATTCTTAGGAGCCATAGCTAAACCTTCAAGTTCTTAAATAGGTGCTTCCTGCTTCCTTCTCCAGTCTGTTGTATTGGGGACAATTAACCCATGTGACATCCTGGAGAAGTCAACGCCCTTTCCAGAAGCTCCTGTTATGTAACTTCGGTTCTGTGGCCCTTTTGGGGATGTTCAGGCTAGCGACGAATTCTAGAACGACCCACATGCCAGCTGCACACAGGAGTGACACGGGACCCACAGGGGTGATGATTTCAGCTCCCCGACATGCACCACCAACACCGGCCCTTTGGGGGTAATAGTTGGCTTTTCCGAATGTCTTTCATCAAATACACTTGACATAGAGTTAAAAGAAATCCAACGTCTTAACCAAGATCCCACTGAATTTAGAAGCCGACAGCCAAATGACCCTCGTGGGTGACCCACACTAACTCTGCATGTTTCCTTTGGGTGCCATTGGTGTCATCTAGAAATGCAGGACAAAAGACACACTGGCTGCCGGACACACCACCGTGGCAGTGGGAGTGCGGTGCCAGGGGCGAGTGAAGCCCCAACTTGAAATCGTGTCTGAGCAACACACTTCTGTACTCTGAGCCCAGGTTCCTCACCCAGAGCCGGGGCTTCAGGATCTGTATTTGGCAGAGTCCTGGGGACAGGACGTTTGAGGACTACAGGTTCCTCCCCCCACTGCTCCCTCTCTGCCCTCCGTGTCTGACAAGGACTGCAGCTTCGCTAGCAAGCCTCACAGACTACTTCAGTGCTACCAGCAGCCGGCACTGAGAACCCAGCAAAAAACGCCGCTGCCAAATCCACATGCTTCCCGTCGTTTTTCAGCGTCAGGCCTCTGAATTAGTTCAAGCCTCTAATTACAGTACTTTCCATTTTCAAAACAACTGCAAATAGTAATTACATACTCTCCCCCTTACCTTCCAGGAATGGCCTGAGAGAGGCAAAAACTCTGAGTCCCCTGCACCTCGAGCTGCACGGTGAGGACATCGTGTTTCTCCTGGCCTGTTGACCCACATTGCATAATGGCTCCTGCCGCTCCTGCCACCCGGACCCTGGAGGGTCACGGCTCATCCCAGCCCTCTCACACGTGTGCCCAAGACTCCACGTGCAAGGGACTTCCCCTGACAGGGCAGCTGGCATAATCATTCGCCTTCGAGATAAAACTTCTACAGTCACACTTTCAGAATCTTCACTTAGGGCAATAAGTAGCGTCTTTTACAGTGACCTGTTCCTTACTGTTTGTGTGGATGTCTAATTGAAAACGTTATGTAACCTTAAAGTACAGAGCATTCTGGAGCTATTAATAACAAGCTGCATCCAAATTCTGAGGACTCTTTGAGCTTACAGTGGGAGGGGACTGCCTGGCACTAATTTATGCACATGCACGTGGACACGGTGACACTCATAAACCCACACACACGTGGGTTTATGTAACCCACTGCATGTATGTAAACTGAGACCTGCAGAATGGGAATAACTTGTCCTGGGTCTCAAAGCCAATTGACAACTGAGTCAGGAACACATGCCAGGTTTTCCGGCCTCTGGAGGAGGCTATTTTCCTCTACACCCCGCTAGGTACCTGCGTACACCCTGAACGCTGCACAAGTGTCCTCACACTCGAGCTGGGTTCTCACAGTGCTGGCACACCAACTCCCATCAAGAGTTTCCGATCTAGACTACCGAGTTAGAAACGAGACACCGACCACAGTAACGTCTTGTCATTCACTTGCAATACATACCCCTCCTGTCCTCTCCAAAGAAATTGAAGGCACCTAAAACATACTTTAACAGGAGGCCATTTGATGTTTGGGGTGGAGGAGCTTAGCATTTGAGATCTTCCAGGAAAGAAGTGGGTCTGAGACAAAGCAACATGGAAGAGGAAGATTGATTCTCGATTGCACATCTGTATGCCAGTGCAGGGGTCAGAATAAATGGACTAGAACTGATAAATTACAAACCGGTGTCAGGCATGGGAATGGTGTTTTACTGTGCAACCTCGTTCCAGGTATCAGTAGCATGATACATGGCATAAAAACCATCCTTCCACAATTACGTTGCCCTTTTCAAAAGTAACTTAATGAAGACTGTTTCTCCACAGTCATTTTTATTCAAAACCTCGCCAGTTCGTCACGAGGAGCTGAGACACATGATGTTGAGAAATTAATACGGCCACACAAGATGCATGACTTGCCACTTGCAGACCCTACGAGCTTGTCAAAAATGAAAGCCCTGCTCTGGTGTGGTGGACTTCAAACGGTCACGAAGCCTGCCGAGAGCTTAGTTTCCGCGAAATAGGTGAAATATGTCCATTTCATCTGGGCCTCAGGAGCACTTTAAAAAGTTCATTAATCCACATCTGTAAAAGACCTATGACAACCCCATTAAGGGCCCACAGGTCAAGGTGATGAATTTAACTGCTGTCAACAGGCAAAGACTGAGTCAGGGCGTGAACATCCTGCAGCCCACCTTTCTGGTCACAGTCCCTCTGTCCCTGCTCTGGCAGGCTTTGCCTGTCATTAATATGACCAGCAAACAACAGAGGGTGGAGGGTCTAAAAGTCACTTTATTTACAGGCTCTAATTGTTTAGGCTGAGGTTTTACCTGTCAACTCTGATGGGTTCTTTCTGGAAGGGCCAGGCAGGCTCACAAGCTTGCAGCTTCCTAGCCGGCTGGGCTTCCAGCCGATGCATTGCACTTTGTTGGTTCTGGGGGGGCCAATGTCATCTCTCCAAATGAAACGCCTACCCTAGTCCATAATCCCCTTCTGGCACCTTGGGACATTCTGTAGCCACCATGCTTCAGCCCAGTAAACAACCCCCAGAGAACTTGGGGAGGAATCTGAATCCTGCAACTCCCCCCCGCCCGCCCCAATATCCTCCTCGGGAAATCAGCAGCCTATTCAGTGCAGAGCTTTTCGTTCGAACGTGCATGTCTGACCCGCTCACACACCCCAGCTCACACACTGTGACCCACGCTTCTCCCACTGCAGAACCATTCAGCTGGAGGCACCTGAAAACTCCCCAGTCCAACTCTGCTCTTACGAACAAGAAGATGGAGGTTCCTTATCGCTGAGGGACTTTCCCGCACCGACGCTAACACAGCACAAGTTGTGCAGACAACAAAGCCCCATGCTTGGTGACTCAACCCACCAGCCGCTCAGACCAGGTCCAAACGATTCTGCGTGGTCCAACCCAAATGCACCTCACAAACAGTCCAAAGCTGCAAACCAGAGAACTGGGGACCAGCAGAAGGCTCCCGTCCCCACCAGCACCCCTCCCCTTTCCTTCTGGGTTGTGTGAGGTCCTGCTGACAGGGAGGGCTGTCAGATGTGAACCAAGATGAAATTTCCAGCGAGGTCGGCCCCTGCCTGGTGGCCACCTGGGATCAGCCCCTGCGCCTGTTAAGTAACCATCTCCGAGACGTACACAAGCAGGGGCAGGTGGCCTTGATTAGCCCTCACCCCATGGAAAGGTTTAGGACACGGTTCTAAGGCTGAGCATGTGCTGGGCAGCCACAGCCTGGGAGGAGCACACGGCAGGAGCCAGACGCTGCCCTTTCCATCCTGTAGGAGGCCTGGGAGGAGAGGATCCCAGGAGACACAGCACGCAGGGGAACATGCTACCCTCCCATCAAAACGGAGGCAGACTTACAGTCCACATCAGGTAGGGGGGAGATGGACAAAGGATGCACGCTACCAGCAATGTATTTCCCCTCAGCAGGTACTCATCGCACAAGCATTTTCTCACACACACGCAATGAATCCAGAAGGAAGCAGTCAGTGAAAGAAATGGGACAGGCGCGTGTGCTACACGGTGGCTGGGCTGGAGAAGTAGAAGGAGCACCCTGGCTTCCCAGCCTGGCCTCCCACTTCCTGGCCTTGTGACCTTGATTGAGTCATTCCATCAGCCTCTCTGCACCTCAGTTTCCAAATCTGAGCCGCCACGGAAGGAGGAGACCTACTTCTTTGGGTTGTTTCTGAGGAACACCACCCAGCAGGGCCTGGACCCCCATGACGTGGTCACTATGTACGAGTCATCCCCACCCCACCCCAACACACGCACACAAATGGACCTGACCCCAGGATGCACGTCTCCTCACCCAGACCAAACAGGTACACCTTCTGCCAAGCCCGCATCTGCCTCCGGATGGCAGAGGAAAGCACCAGATCTAGAAGGTGCCCAGGCAGTTCAGCCCCCAGGCAGGGCTTGGGGAATGGGGAAACGGAGGAGCTCCATGAGAAGCTCCGTGGGCTTCCAGGCTCCGGGTGGGCGCGGGGCAGGGATCTCGGAGGCGGCCTCCGGCCAGGGGGAAGGGGCTTTGTTCCCGAGGCGGAGGGCCTGGCTTACCGAGCAGCGCATCCGGAGGCGAGCGGGGGCCGCGCGGGGCAGGCAGCAGAGCCTCGGCCCGGCCCCGGCCCGGGGCGCCGGAGTCGGAGGAAGGCGAGGAGGAGGAGGAGAAAGACGAGGCTGCGGCCGGCTCCTGCCTCATTCTCCCGGGCAACGCTGACCCGCTGGCGGTCGCCGGCTGGGGCTGGCCGCAGGGCGCGGGACCCGGTTCGCGCGGCTCATGTCCCGGTCCGCCTCTGGCGAGCCGTGAGCGAAACCTGGTGGTCTCCAGGCGGCACCCCAGGGCTCCTCATGCCCCGCTCGGGGGCTCGGAGGGAGGACCTCGGGGAGGTAGCGCGGAAGGAAAGAGAAAGAGAGATCGTGAGAGCGCGCGGAGCTGTGCACCGCGGGGTCCCGCGACGCTAGGCACCCAGCAGGACCGCACCGCCCCACCCACAGCGCCTCCGTGCCCGGCGCTGTGCGCCCGGGAGGGAGCCGAGCCCCACAAACTTTAGCACATGTCCGGTCCCGCGGCCGCCGTGGCGGGAGCTGCCCCGCTCACCGAGCGCCCCCTGCTCGCGCCCAGCCACAGCCGTGGCCCCAGAGCGCAGCTTACCGGCCGCGACGGCGATCCCGGCGGTGGGGCGCCCACCCAGTCTCGCGCAGAGAAGTGCGCACCGCTGGGGAAGAAGGAGGGGGCTGGCGGCGTCCGGGTCCTCGCAAGGGAGGGGCACCCCGACAGCGACGGTGGAGGCTGAGCCCCAGCCGAGATCTGCAGTCCGCGAGGGAGGAGGGTCCGTGCGCCCCCCGCGCCCGCCCCAAGACGGCGCCGCTGCTGACGCCGCGCGCGGGCTTCCCCGGCTCCGAGTCTGCGGAGCCAGCCCCGTTACCTAGCGACTCGCTCCGGGGAGCCCACGCTGACGCCAGCGACGAGCCGGGCTGCGGCACGGAGAGGAGAGGAAGGGGAGCTTTGGAGGGAGGAGCGCGGGCCGCTGCGGCCTGAACTCCTCCCTCCACTGCCTCCGCGGCACTGGGGAGGGGGCCCGGGGAAGATTTGGCCTCAGCCTGGTCCGGAAGGGCCGGGAGGCCGGATGTGGGGAGGCACGAAGATGCGCCTCCCCCCTCGCTAGGGCTGCAGCAGCAGGTGGCGGCGATGTGGCCGGTGGAGGGCCGGCGCCCGCAGGCACGGAGATGGGCACGGCCCGAGCGAGAGCGCGTCAAAGGTGGTTGCGGGAGCGTGTGACACGTTCCCACCCACGTGGCGAACATGGGGACCTGAGGACTCCGGTGAAGGAGGACCCTCCTCCTTCCTCTGGTCTCGCTCCCTCCTTCCTGGACATTTTGCTTCTGGGCCGTCTCTTCATCACGGAAGCTCAGGTCGCTCAGCTCCCTGCTCTGAGCCCCTCCCACTTCCCTGAGAAGGGAAGAAAGGCCTAGGCTGTGGGGGTAGCAGTGTGTCGACCAACCCTCCAAACCCCCTCTCACCCCCCTGCCCCGTCCCTTGGCAGCGCCTACCTGCCCTACCTCCGTGTCCTGTTGCCTACACATGGGGACCCCCATAACCTGCTTCCAGGAGCCATCCTGTTCCTGGATTGGGGGCCTCTCAGACCACAATTCAAATCTGCACCCTTCCAGTCGCCTGCCTATGTAGAATGGTCCCTAAATTACCTAACACCTCCAATAACATGGATCAGTTGTCCCCAAAGCTCACAGCTAAGTGCTGGCACATAAGGCACTCCATGTGTGTGCACGTGCATTTGCTGTAAGGCCTGAAGCTTGTCTCCCGTCTGGGTCCTCACCAAACAAACCCTAGCAAGACAGGGGCGAGGGGGGTGGACCCTCCTCACAGCAGGAGATGACCACTGCTTTTCCCTACCAACAAGATAACCTGCCTCAAGGCAGAACTGGGTCCAGAACCAGGCCTCCTGGTTCTCACCCCCCATCCCACCACTGTCCCCCGACAAAAGCTGGGTGCAGGGGTCCCACTTCCCCACTGCTCGGCAGAGCCCCCCAATTCCCGCTACAGAATAGGAACCGCCTGTCTCCTCTCCCTTGGGACCAACCCCGCAGCTCTCTTCTCTCTTCTTCTCTGGTGAAAGTGTGGGGAGAAAAAGGCAGAAGACAGAGCCTATGAGAAGGGGGACCATGCCTTCCCTAGACCACCCATGTTTTTGGTGGGTCTCCACAGTGCTGATTCCATCCCTGGGGGGCTTTGGAAGTATCACACCCTGAGTGGATTTGGGTGTCCCAGTGATGGGACAAATTCTCCGATCATTATCACATTTTCAAGATGCCAGTAACTTCTGTTGAAAACTCCTGCAAACCCATTCAAACAGAAACCCGTGTCTTAAGAAACTGAGGCCCAAAGACAGCACTTTTCTGGGAAAAAGACTTTGGGCCTCAGCCCAGGTTCAGGATTTGAGATCCAATGTTTCCCAGAGAAATTAGGAGCAAAACCTCTGAATTTCCCCACCCATGTTTATGGTCTGTGGCCGCCAGGCAGCTGGTCCACAGAAGGACTGCTTCCTGGGGCCACCTCGGCCGGTAGGTAGCCCTTCTTCAGCCTAGACTTCCCGTGTGCAGGTGTCATTGAACACCGAAGTGAACACGGGAACCCTGTGCTTACACCGAACGGAACCCCAGAGCTGGTGCTCCACACCGACCAGTGTCTGGGGCCCCCTGTTCCAGGAAGCAAGGCGGCATGTGGGGAGGTGTTCACAGCTCACGGAGACCTGGAAACGTTGGCTGTGCCATATCCAAACCACATGTTCATCCCGTACCGAGTGTGTGTGGTGGGGGCGGGGCCAAGAGGACACGTGGCATTGTCATCCCTCGTTCCATACAGGTGGGGGGTGCATGAGCAGCTCAGGATTAAGGTAACCCACAACCCAGAATGTCCACCTGCAAGACAGTGGAGGAACATGGCCCCACTGTAAGGAGCAGCCACGGATTCAGGCTTGGTGCTGGGATCTGGGGAGGCAAAGGTGGATGAGATCAGCTCTCTACTCTCTAGACCCTCCTGGGGACACTTCTGAGGACGCTTAACTGGTGCTGGGGACCCCAGCTCAGAAGGGTTTTACCCAAGAGCGCATCGTAACCTCCCCAAAGCCTATAAGGTGGGGTCCATATCCCTTCTTACAGGGAAGCTCACAGGGGCACCCTCAGTTCCCCCAAGCCACAGAGCTGGCCAATGACAAGGTTGGGAGTCACAGCCTGGCCTCCCTGACCTCAAGGCCCACACTCGTAACCATCGTTCTATTCTGTCCACCAAGGTTAAGGAAAATGGAGATGACGGTCCTCTAGAAAGTGCCTACCTGACATGCAGGAGAGCGAGTGAGGTGGGTGTGCAGAGACCCCAGGCTGGCACCTGGGACGGAGTAAATGCTCAGTGCGAGGCAGCCATTGCTGTCATCACTAGGCCCTGGGTTTTGTGTTGAATCGACAAGCTCTATCTCATAAGGCAGTGATTTTCAACCTTTTTATATCTCATGGCACATGTGAACTAATCACTAAAATTCTGTGGCACACCAGAAAGTATATTTTCTGCTGATCTGACCAAAAAGGTATAATTTTGATTGATTTACAGAAATAAGAACAGCAATTACTACCTTCTTTGACTCAACGTGACTTTTTAAAAAATCGGGTGCCTATACTTGTATATAAAGAGGTCTGGTACCAAAAGGTAACCAATCAGATGCAGCCTTGTTATGTGACATGACCAATAAGATGCAACCCTATTATGTGACCTATATTTTTATGGTTTAAGACAGAGCATCCATGGTGGACAGCTATTATTGTGTTGGCCATTGTCATTTATTTTACTTTGACAATCTAAGGAAAAAGAGGTCAGTGCCCCTGAGTAAATTGTCAGGTATTGCACGTTTGAAATATTCTTACCACACACTGGTTGAAAGTTGCTGTTACAGGGGTTACCAAGCCCTACTCCTGGTGGCATAAGCAACGGTGACCGCGTCTGTCTGCGGGGCTGCAGCCCTCTGCACCGAGGAGGCACATTCGAGTTGGGTCTCCAGGCAGGGGTAGATGTTGAGTGGGTGGAGCGAGCATAAGGACCAGGCTGATCAGGAAAAGCACTCAGGGACATGCACAGAGCTGTGAACAAACATCTCTTCTGGGTGGGAACCAAGAGACCCAAGACGGGAAAGCGAGAGGACGGGCAGGAGCCTGTGGCCTCTGTTAGTGACAGACCATCCCTGAAGGTGCAGACAAGGCTGTCTGTTGAGCCTCTGGGGTGCTGTGGGGGAGGGGACAGTGGGATAGGGGGCTAGGGGAGAGGACCCAGCCTCCACTCGGCCACTCAAAGATTTACTGTTTGAACCACTTGCATTTGTGCTGGACTGGGACACCTCCCATCACCCACAGGGACAGCGGGCTCGTGATCCCTGCCCACCTCGGCACTTCGCAGGGCCACTGTGTGAGACAAGGCTTGGCCACCTGTCGTGGGTGCATCAATTGCCAGGTATGACCAGTTCACCCATTCTCAGGGTTTTCCCCAACTCTTTCATTCATGTGTGCACCTACTGTGTGCCCAGCACTGCTGGCTCCAGGCACTTGGCCCCTGGCCCCGAGTTACTCAGTGTGTGAGGGAGGCCGCCAGTCTTTGGCACAGTGTGGAAACACCTGCAGTCAGTGCCATGTACCGGCAGGCTGTGTGGCTGCAGAGAGGGGCTCCTCCCTGGGTGTGGGGGACGGAGGAGACTACCTGGTAGAGAGGTTGTCTAGGAGGAGTGGGAGTCAGCTGAGTGGAAGGGAATGGGATGGGGGAGAGGGGAGAATGTTCCACGCACAGAGATAGCGCTTGCCGGGTCCTCGAGGTGAATCAAGGGGAACCTTAAACACTAAGAAGCTTAGCCCCCTGTGAAAAGGCAGAGCTAGCTTTGACTTTTAGGGAACACATCTGTGTAGCACAGCCAGGTAAGTGCTGGCTGTGGGGTTGGGGCCCCCGGGCCTGGGAGGCGGGGAGAGAGACAGTCCTATAGAAATGGTTCAGGAAAAGCTGGAAGCGGTCCCCTTTTTTAGAAAGCAGTGCCTCTACTGTTAACGACTTTCCAGTTTTTTGTGTGCTTTGCAGAGTTCAAAGCCTTTCACTGGCCCTCATTACATACGTGGGAGGGTTAGGGGGAGGACCCTCAGCCTCATAGCCAGCTCTTGGTAGACCCCACAACTTGAGCCCGGGGCTGCCTTCTAGGTGGTCCGGTCCTGATCATCTCTAATAATTTCGCTCTGCTCTTCATGGTTGGCCAAGCACATCCACCTGTCTGAGTCTGTTCACCTGGCTGTGCCAACACCCCCAGCGTCAAAGGGAGAAATGCCGACCCAGGGAGGGGTGGCATCTCCCTGGCCGGCCAGGGACCTGGAGGAGTCACTGAGGTCCAGACAGGCCTGGGCCTCCGGGAAAGGCAGCAGTTTGAACCGCTTGCATTTGCGCGAACAGCATGGCCTGGGCCTGGGCGGAGGGGACCTAAGGGACAGGTGAAATGAGGTAAAGAGGACGCCAACACTGGTTTGGTGTAGGAAAGGGGGTTTTAGGGTCTGCAGTTTTCCTTTGCTGCACCCATAATAAAGTGGTTCTCACAATAAAATACTCCCCCCAACCACACTGAGGAGGGGACAAGAAATTTGGAGTCAGGACACTTGGGGACAGGGGAGGGAAATAGAGAAAAGAAAACAGATGACTTGGAAAGAGGGTATTGTCAACTTCAGATAAGTCTCTGAAATGACAGGAGAGAGTTTGGTTAGCTCTCGTGCGTGGCCCCACAGGGCAGAAGGAGGCCACCGGGGAGACCATGGCTCTTTCAGGACGAGGAAGAGTAACAGAGCAATCATCAGCCAACTCGTGGGCCAAACAGGCCCAATGACAACTTCTGTAAACAAAGTTTTGTGGGAGCACAGCCTGCCCTTTCATTCATGTATCGTCCATGGGGCCTGTGTGCTACAGGAGCAGACAGGAGTATTTGCTACAGAGACTCTATAGCCCACAAAACCTAAAGTATTTAGTATCTGCCTCTTTGGAAAACAGTTGGC